GATCACCTCCTCTTTTTAAGGCATTTGACTGCTTTCCCTTGGCTCCTTCAAACAGACACACAAGTACACACGCTCAAACGGATGCACACACATGCACACTCTTCTTAAATGTGTCTCCTTCAGTCCTATCCTACCTCTACAAATGGCCCGTGGCAACCTGGCCATCCCTTTTAAACATTGTTAAAGAGTAACCCTCTTGCTGTCTTCACCTCTCACTCCTTCCTTAAACCTCTGCAAGGTGCTCTGGTAGGGAGTGGGGGTCACTGTTACGGGGGCTCCTGAGATCACTGGTGCAGCATGAAAAGCAAAGAAGCTCCATCTAGAGATCCCGCAGGCCTGGACTGCAAGCTATCTCTGGCTCTTCCCAGCAGTGCACTCCGGGCAAATTATTTAACATCTGAGCCTATCCTCACATTTGCAAAAGCATGAATACTAAGCACCACTTATATGACTGTTGAGAAAGGCAAATAAGATACTGGATGTCAAAGCACTCCGTAAACCCTGACCTCACCCCTACTGGCCTCTGAACAAACAGGAGGCTCTCAGGCTCTGCCTTTTCCAGGCTTCAGGGCAATGTTGTCTGGTAAGACGTTCCTGATCATCCTCCATCAAGCAGGAGCAGTGGTTTTCACACCAAATATGGGGCCAAATATGTGTTCACGTGAAATAAAGGACAGAGAACGCATTATAGCTGTCCTTCACTAAGAAGGAAAAATCAGGGAGAAAATTGTTTCCAAGTAGTTTTTGCCCCTAGCACATTCTTTTAATAACATTCTCAGGCTTCAAGTAATTAATTTTTAAGCAAAACCAGCCCCAATTTAAGCAAGTGACGTTTCAACCAAAAATGACTCTTTCTGGCCATCTTTTATTTTCTTCTCTGTCCCCTGCAGACAAAACAGAACTTACTTTTTTTTTTTTTTTGGACAAAGTCTCAAGCTGTCGCCCTGAGTAGAGTGCTGCAGTATCATAGCTCACAGCAACTTTCAACTCCTGGGCTCAAGCGTGACCTCTTGCCACAGTTTTTCTATTTTTAGTAGAGACGGGGTCTCGCTTTTGCTCAAGCTATAGAACTTACTTTTTTAACTCGTGTGGTCAGGTCCTGGACGAAGAGTTTACGGAGGTTGTGAAGCGTCTGCAGTTCTCTAGACTGGAAGAGAAGATTTTTGAAAGGCCACCTAAGTGAGGACACTTCTGGCACCAGACTGTTAACCCCAGATTTCTCCACATGTGCCTTCTGCACCCACCTGCACACACTGTGACCCACTCGTGCCATGCCCACCCCTAGACCACCTGGCATTATGAGGAGCACGTCTGGGAGCAGAGCCTGGGATCTCCCAGGCAACCAAATGTAAACCAGAACAAAGCCTGCTCTGGAGCTGCTGTCTCAGTGGAAGCATTTTTTCCCATCAACCGGAAAAACACAAAAGTTTTCTCAAAAATTCCCAGTGAGCTATAGTACCAGAATGGATTCCTTTTCTTCTTTTTCTTTATGACATTAGCATTAAATACAATACCAACACACTGAAGGTGAAAGTTAGCCAGGACTGACATTTTTCATGTTTCCACACCCCCTGTAGGCTCAAGTCCACACGTCCATTGCTGTTTACACCCCTGGGGTTATTGGTCCGGCGTTCTGTGGACTTCCCACCGTGGTGACCCTGGGCACGTTACCTAACTTGTCTGTGCCTCTGTTTTCTTATTTGTAACATGGCGATAAAATAGTGCTTGCCTCATTGTGGTCTGTCAGGGTTGAATGAAGTGATCTTTATGCAACTCTTATGACAGTTTAGACACAAACTGAGCACTCACTGCCCTTTACTAGAATGGATTCATTGATACATTATATTTTATATCATAAAAACCATTTTTTTCTTAGGCTTTTATGGTTTCCTTTTGTTCTTGCCATTATACCTTTCACTGTAATTAACTTCTTGGGAGAATTTTTCTCCTTCATTCTGGATTATTTTCTGCAAATGAACCCTTAGAAATTAGATTGCTGAGACCAGGCCCTGAGCCAAACCTGGTAATCTTTACTAACAAAATCAGGAGATCAACATATTTCACTCTGTTTATATCTCCAGGTATTTACTGCAGGAGATATGAATAGTCCCTTGCAAAATATTTTCCATATGGGAGGAGGAGAGAAATAAGCTCTGCATTTCAACTTCGTAATTTCTCTAACTTGACCTGTTCTAACACGCAATGTTAAGGGATGCATCTCACACTTGCTAACATCAAAAGGGAAGAAACAGGCAATAAAACTATGGAAACACTACGTTTCTTGCAATTAAGATTCTCTGGTAACCTATGGTCTTATTACTGGACCCAAGTCTCTAAAGTAAGAAGAACCTAAAGTCCACTGTGCCCTCAGAGGAGGTGAAGTACTTTCTGCAGGGAGCCAAATGGATCTGTGCCTGTGGATTATGTAACACCCTACCTGTCTGGGGCTGCGCCACCATGCAGCCTAGTGCAGAGTACCCAGGCCCTGCCAGTGAAGCTCAGTCCCCAGCGCCCTGCTCCTTGGTACCTGACCTGCCCGCATGCTCGCCTGTGCCAGCAGTGTTATTGCTGCCTGAAATGTACTCATGCTTCCCATTTCTCATGAAAAACACCACCACACCAAATACGGAGTCCTGAGTTGGGCGAGTTCCTCTCATTCTTGCTTATCTTTTGATGGATTCAAAATGAACAGTTTGGGAGGGGCAGTTAAGGACATTTAAACCATTTCTAAGTTACATTTATGCACATTTATGGTCAGGCAGCTTCACTGGGCTTTCCTTGGGCAATGACTGTTTCCTCCCTCATAGTCATTGTCACTCCCCCACCCCAACTGGCTTTCCTTAAATCTCCTCCCATCACAGGCCCCTGGGCTCCAGGCAGTGGACAGTGAGAGTGGGACGAGAGGAGCCCTGTCGTGGCAGAAGCAGGGTTCCCGGAGCCCAGGCAGACCCCACCAGCTTGTTTATTCTTATGCAGTGGCTGCCAGGGTCACCTGGGAGGAGGGTGAGACAACATTCAGCTGAGGACAGGGACCTGTTTCTGAAGAACATTTACAGCGTGGGGAGAATTCCAAGGCCGCATGAAAATATCAGCACCTAAAACTGCATGCGCGGGTTCCAATCTTGGACGTGAAAGGTGTGTGTGCCACGCGTGTGGGTGGGAGAGTGAGGGAGAGCACGAGGGTGGCGACGTCAGTGGGTCCCTCGTGTGGAGAGGACACGTGAATATGGAGTGAGGACAGCTGGTGAGAGGAGCATGGAATTGAGCGGGAGGGACAGTGGATAGATGTGAGGACGCCAGAGACAGTGGAGAGATGTGAGGATGCCATTGAAGGAAATGCCTCATTCAAAAGACCCATTCAAATACCCAGAAGAGGCCAAAGAACTGGTTAACTAGCCTTTCACGCCTCAGTGTGGGTGAAGGGGACTGAGAGTGAGGTGGGAGTGGCCAAGGGCAGCTGCTCCTTGGTGAGCAGGACGGTGTCCAGGAGTGACTGTGTGTGAGTGCGCGTGAGAATACTTGTGTGTGCAAGAGAGAGCAAGGGTGTGAGTGCAGCTGACACGGTGTGAGAGCAGGAGCATGAAGAACTGTGGGTGAGAGTGAGGGGTGTGTAAGCACCCGTGAGTGTGTGAGTAGAGGGAGGGGCAGGTGCACAGGAGGGTGTGGATGGCAGGGGAGGGACTGCCCATGAGCTCACATGTGCAAAGGAAGAAAACATCCTGAAATCTCAGGGTGGGGGGAATATAGTAAAATTGTAACGTTCGATATTTTTCGGAACTTGTATAATTGTCTGTAATTATGGGTGTCACTTTTCTGGTAAAACAGATGTAGATGAAGCAATCTGATGGCTCTGTTTCAGTTCCCCCTACAGCCGCCCTCTCCAGACTTCTCCATGCTTGAAAGGCCCAACTTCCCTTGAAATTCAGGGATCTTACTTATGTCCTAAAGGCCATGTGTCCTCATCTCCCCTCCCTGGCTTTGAAGAGCAGCCAGTGCAGCTGGCCCAGGAGCCAGAATGCAGCCCCAGGCTCAGATGTGCACAGCCACCTGCCTCCAGCCTGGGTCGCCAGGCTCTCGGAGACAGGCTCAGCCCAGCGCAGATTCGCACAGCCTAGGGATGGAATCAAGTGATGGCTGTATCTGAACAACCACTCCTCACAAGTGTGAAATGTCCTAAGGTTCTCACCAAAGGGAGCAGCTATACTGGAATGGGTATCTTAAAACAGGCCGTGTGGCATGACCAGAGCTCTCCCTCTGAAGGGCTCTCAAGGAGCCTGAGGCCAGGCAGCATCCCACAGGGCTGCTGAAACACTGGCCAGCCAGAGGAGGAGAAGCCCAGAACCCAGATGCAGGACTGAGAGAACCAACTGGGATTTCAAATCAAAGTGAGCTGGGTCTGGCACTCCTCTGTCCAAAGCCCTAGAGGACCCCAGGCCCTCGCTAGCCAGCACCGCCACCCTGTGCCCACCTTCCATCCCTCCTTGCTCAGCACTGAGCTCCCTGTAGGCCTTCTCTACACCCGTCATGGGCTCACCTCAGGGCCTGGGTATAAGCTGCTGCCTCTGCATGGAATGCTCTCCCCCACACATCCTAATGTCTCACGTCTTCTGCTTCAAATTCCTGCTTAAATGTCACCTCCTGGGGGGCCTTCCCCCACTCCTCCTATAACTGCCTAATGAAGCAGACAGATTTTCTTCCTTCCTGTTTATCTTGTCTCCTTCAGCCAAATACAAGCTTCCTGAGGGCAGGGATCTTATCTCTGTTGTTTACTGATCTCTCCAGTTACCTGGAAGAATGCCAGCCCTTAGGACATGCTCAGTGAGTGCAGGGGCTGAAAAATTGTGATTCAGTTTAATTCTCACTCAGAGTCTCTAAGGTTACAGCTGTAAGCTCTGAGGATGGATGGATGGATGGATGGATGGCTTCTGCCAAGAGTTGGGGAATAAATACTATATATCCCACTTTCCACAGAATGTTTATGTCTCCAATGAAGCACAGAAAAGTGTGCACAGATAAAATTTTAGAATAAATAGTTCAACAAATCACAAACTACTCTGGTCTTTGAGACTAAAATGAATTGGAAAACATCTTGACATACCACTGTCTCCTCCAGCCCTTTGAGGTCCTCTCTGGCCTGTTCCCTTTTATCATTGAGCAATCTGAAAAACAGAAAGGAATCATGAGCCGTGAAAGGGGAATCAGAAATTAAGCAAATACTGCGTGTACCTACAGATAAATCAAAAAGCAAACCAGACAAGCACACAAATAGCCATTGTCTGTTCTTAAATTAGCCCAGTGGAGCCAGCACATGGCAGTGACGAGGAGAGGGGAGGAAACTGTCCAGTGCACTCACAGGAGCTTCTCCAGCTTCATTTCTCTCTCTTGGTCCTCTATTTTCAGCTTGTTATAATCAGAACTGAGCTTCTCCTGTTCCAGTTGCAGTTTCTGATTCAAACTGAAATTGAGAGGAAAAAGCAATATATTCCACATCAGTCTGAAATTCTGAGTCATCCGACTAAAACCTCGGCTCTATTCCAACCCCATTAGTTCTATACAATAAAGGCGGCAATTCTGGAGGATTTGGAGGGATCAGACAACAACCTCACAGCTTCCTTTCCGTCCAAGTGAAAACTAATTTCTAGGGAGCATCTCAAAGGCATGAAACACAAGGCTTTGAGGATATTTTTATAGTTTGCTTGGGCTTGAGCTTCAGAGGAAAAATAATGAGACGGGAAAAGGGCTGGTATTTTAAAACCGAGGAAGAGAGCACTGCAGCCCCAGGTCTGTCAAAGCACTGTGCTCGCTTGGCCCCTGAGATGGCATGTGCTCACTCCAGAGGCTGCACGTGGCCGTTTCGACCTTCCTTCCTCTCTGGTCAGATGTTCTAAAAACATCTCCCAAGTCCAGATGCCTCGCTGACACAAGGGCAGCTCTGAGAGTCTGGGTTCAGCTGGGAACAGAAACTTGCCATCTGGTTGAGCACATCAACAGGAACGTCAGCCCCAGGGCTCTTGAAATCTCGAGACCTTCCCTACGGCCACACCCAAGAGACTGTACAGCCAGAGACCATATGCTGAAGGAAAGTCCAGGGTCTGCCTGAAGCCACGGGCCGAGGAAGCCTCCTCAGCTCTGCACCTGCTCACAGACCCTCTCTCTCCCTTCCCTCCTGCTAAATTATATTGAGGGTGATTGATCAGAATAATGGACATGCCACATGCTTAAAAGCGAGAGCATATCTCCAGCTTCGCATGGGAGTAGCCCAGGAAAAGGGGAGAGAGGACGCTGCCGTGCCTTCCTCAGGGGAAAGTGAGCACAGAGCCTGTATCACACCCTTAGGCTTTTGCTTAAGTTACCATTCTCGGCTTTTAAAATGCACATGCACTGTGGGAGGGCTCACACACTGAAGAGAAATTCAAAATCACTCCACCTTGCTTCCCATATATCTTCATCCACAGAAAGTGAGAGGGAGGGAACCTTTGGTTTAGTCCTTGGTGGAGGGTAGTGTCAGTGGATGGAGCTGCATTTCAGTATACAGCTGACCCTCCACAGCTGGCCACTTCCCTCCACTGACCACCTTCTTAAGTTGACCTAATTTCCACAGACCGGACATGCACCACACGTATGAATCTGTACAGCAGGCCTGGTTCCTTATGTGACCACCTTCACAGGTTGACCCTCCTATTACAGTCCTTGGGTGGTCAACTTACAGAGGTTCTACTGTAGTTGGTTTTCCTTGTAATCCTATCTCATTTATCTAGAACATTTAAAACATTTTTCTGCAATCAAAGTTAGACATTGACAAGAGGATCCACTGGGCAAAAGAGGAGGGGATCCCAAAGGCACCTTCTAGCTAAGTGACCTTGAGTTACCAAAGGCAAGAGAGGAGGGGGAGAAAGGGCTCTGCAGAGCTGGGGCTCCTCGGTGGCTGCCACGAGGCAGGAGTACACGTGAAGGGGGGTCACCAGAGACAAACTCCAGCGATGCTATCCTGGTGGCAATGTCACAGGCCACTGGCACCTCAGATCACACAGACATGTAAGGGTGTGGTCCCTGAGAAATGTGCACGTGTAACCAGGGGGTTGTACAGGCGTGGTTGTGAGTGCAGGGGAGTAGACAGCAGTTCTGACTGTCTTCTCTGGAGTGTTTGGGGGTTTTGGCATTTTCATACAGTCTCCCCATTTACTAGCGTGTGTGCGTCTGCCCAGCTGGGTCACCTTTGTGACCCTACCCCTCAGGGGCTATAAGGGCAGCTGGGCCTGCCTGCCACCTGCCCCACCAGAGCCCCAGGAGATTCAGTTCCAGATGGGAAAACAGACCTTGGGAGCAGCACGCCTGGCCCGCTGCATCTCCGGAACACAGCACAGAGTCCCCTGGGGCATGGAGAGCAGGGGCCCTGGCTACCAGCCATGTCATCCCTGGCTGGCCCAAGAGGATAAGTCAAGCCCACCCCCACAGCCCACAAGCCCCGGGGCCAACTCACTCCCGGATCTCATCAATGATTTTCTGCTTCTCCTCAATTTCGTCCCGAAGTCTGGACAGCTGCTTCTGGTGAGCTTCCCGGTGGCTCTCCATCTGCTGCTCCAGAGCCTTCTGCAACCCAGGCCAAGAGAAATGTGTCATCCACTCGTTGGCACTTAGCCCACTCTGTGACAAGCCCTGTGTTGCTGTCTACCTCATAACCCAAGTCCTTCTGATGTCAGATCCCCAAACTGGGGGCATTTCTGGCTCTTGAGTCCCCAGAACCTGGCCTTGCTTTATTGGGACAATAAAACCCAGGATCTGTTATAAAACTGAGTGGGCCCAGGAGCAAATTAGTCTGCCAATTAGATAAAAAGTTTGCCCTTGACATTTTACAGTTCATCCACGCTACATGGCTTTTCCAGCTAGGACAATTAGAGGGCAGGGAAACTCTGATGGCCTGGGTGAGTTCAGACAAGCCTTGCTAACCTGTGAACTGCACTTCCTCACCGAGAAAACAGAGCTGATAGCCCCTGCCTGCCTACTGCCCTACCTCAAGAATGTGGCCCATGAAATGATCGGGGGTGTGCTGCCCTGTCCATCCTTATCAGGAGACGGAGGACAAAGGTATTAATGCCACACCCACCATCATCTGGGGACATCTGGGGTTCTGGATGGTCCCACCATTTCTGTGCTACACTCTGAGATCAACTCTGAAGGCCCAGCAGGGGTCCCTCCCGCTTCCTCCTCCACTGCCAGGCACAGACATGAAGGACAAATTTTCCTGGAAGAAGGAAATCCAGTTCACAAGCATCAGAGCCACCCTGGGCGTGAGGGACAGGACGGCCACACACACCTTCATCTCCTCAGCGTCCTGCAGCCGCGTCAGGTGCTCCTTCTCCTTGTCTTGGAAGCTGACTTCATGCATTTTTTCTGTTTTGAATTTTAAATGATGATTAAAGATTTAATTGGCAGGACCAACACCCAAAAGCAAAAATTAAGAAACAAGAAAAATGCAACCGTGAAACATCATCTTACATCCCAATTACAACCCTGGCACACAGGACCGGGCCTCCCGACACAGGACTTCTGGCTAAAGTGAGCTGACCTCGCTCAAGGACCTACTTTATGGAACTGGAGTCCTTGTGGGGACAGGTAACTATAGGGGAAAGGAGCCCATCTGGGAGCCTGCCCCAGGCTGTGTCGGGCTCTGTGTCACCTCACACCAGGGAGCAGTAGCCTCCCACCTGGCCTCTGTGAGCGCCCTGAGGCCACGCATGTTTGCAGATGGTAAGCCGGTAAGCCCTCTGTGAATGCCACGGAGAGCTGATCAACCTCCCGTAGGGGAGCTGTTTATTTTCTAGGCATCTGGAGCAGGTAAACACACTCTAAGGATGAGAACAAGGGACACGGAAATACAACATGATACTGGGACAGGCTGCTGTGTAGTACTCTCATCTGGGGTATGTGCCCCAAGCAAGAGGTGCCTGGGGCAGCCCCCACTGGGGAGGTGAGGGGAGCAAAATGGTTTAGACAGTGGCGTTCAATTCATTACTTCTCTCGGGTCTGTTTCGGTTTACTTCAGGTCTTCTCACCTCTACTTTACTTCTACTCACTGGCCCCACCGCAGAAACCAGGTACAAGAGGAAGTTATTTTCCATCTCCACGTTAGGCCTACTCTAGTCCTAACATTCATTTGTTACTACATTAAAAAAAAAAAGTTTTTTAAAAAAAGAAGAAAAGAAAATGTTGCAAGGTTATGGTGGGGTAGATATGTTCTCTTTCTTTTTTAATTTGCTTTGGCATTTAAAACAAAATGCTATTTATTGAGCAAAAGAACTATACAAGAACAATAAAGGAAGTGAAACAGATAACCTCATCACCAATCCTACTACCCTATCGCAACCATTTTCATTTTAAATATTAATTCCTAGGAACACAAGCATCCATTTTTAATAGTTATAACCAGAGCAAAGAGAAAATCATGTGTTACTGGTTTTTAATCTATAGTTGCATCATAAACATTGCTACACACCTTCATGTAGTCCATCTCCAGTCTAAAAAAATAGATATCCTATGAAACAACATTCCACGTTTATTTATTTGACTATTGGACGTTAAGGTAGCTCTTTGTTTTTTCTAATCTAAAATTCTACAGTGAGCACTTGAGAGCTGACGATCAAAAGGTATAGAGAAATGTCACAGTTATTAACACACATTTTCACATTGCCTTCCAAAAGGACGCTAACCATTTTCATTGCCTGCCTCTATATGCGTGTTCTGGTTTCATGTTGCACCACACACACATTCTCTAAAGCAAAAGGGGTTAGGAGGCTGCCTGGCAAGGGGAACAGCTTGTTTAAGGGCAGAGAGTACCACGTAAACCCTGGCATTAGTTCAGACTTTACATTAAGAGCGACGAGATGCCACAGGAGGGTGAGAGGTGTCAGTTGGACAGCAAGAGGGTCGGAAGATGCAGTGGCCCCACCTCACCCCAGTCTGCCCTGGGATATAGCAGTGCCCGGCCCAGAGCAGACTGGGGGGGGGGGGCTGCCCTGTAGATATAGTCACAGTCCTCAATTAACCTAGTCCATTGTCAGTGACAATGAGGACAGAAATGACCAAGCGGAACAGACAGGCCTTGGCAACTGCCTGAGGCAGGAGGTAGAGCAGGGGAGGATTCTGTCTTAGACAGCTGAGTGGCTACAGGGGATAGAAAGAACAGTAGATTCAGGGTGGGGACAGTCTTCTAGAAAAAACTTTCTTTTTCCAGTTATGCTATTATTTTCTGCAGATCTAGAAATACTTAAACCAGACAAAACTGAGCATCCTGACTCCAGCCAACCAGAGACTGTCTGATTCAGGTGGAGCGTTTGACACCTGCAGGGTGGTTTAATATTTCTTTACCTTGGGCCCGGAGCTTGGCCAGCTCTTCACTGAGTGAGTCCTGGGACTCTTCCAGCTGCCTCCTCTTCTGTTCCATGTTCTGCATGTAGTCTGTGAGAGACTTGATCTTGGCTTCATGCTTAAACAAGCAAATAGAGCAAAGAGAAGAGTGAACGACTAGCAAGCCAGCAGCCCAGGCCTGCAGCTGAGAAAACGCAACAGAGATGGAGTTTGCCAGTGAATGCTGTGTATTTACTGAGGACTCAGAATCGTGGACCGAGACAGTCCTCTGTTCTTCCACGTGCTTCTCTGCCTCATTCCCGCAAGACACAGCCCCCAGCTGCGCCCCTCCTCCCATCCACTTAATGTGAGATACCAAAGCCTGAGCATGCTGGAGAGAAGGGGCTAGAATAGTCCAGGGCTGGTGGTCTCAGTCTGTGAACACGTACCTCTGGATTCCACCTTCATAACTCAAATGATTAGCTCTTTTCTTTTTCTGTCCTTCACACACTCCAGTTTCCATCTCAGGGGCTCTGCTCTGCACTTTACATTTTCCTCTCTCTGGGAAACTGCCCCTCCCCTTACACACACATGCAAACACACACACACAGGCGCGCGCGTGTGCGCGCACACACACACACACACGTGTGCACACAGTCCCAACTAGCTCCTTATCAGCCAGGTCCCAGCATTTTCTTACAGCACCTAACTTCTACAGGATTTATCTTACCTATTTTGTGTGTGTGTGTGCAAGCTCTATGAGGGCAAGCACTTAGTAAATACTCCTAGTAGGACTACTCCCGTGAGAACGGGTGCGTAATAAACATCAGTGGAATAAATGAACGCAATGGGAGGTTGTGGCTGAACAGCTCCGGCAGATGGAAAATGTATGAGAAACACTCCCGCCCTCCCGATCTAGGGAGCTCATATTTAGGCTAAAAGACCCTGAAGACTGAGCTCTAATCTAATGAAATAACTTCTGCAGGAAATATGACTCAGGTGGAGAAGGTATTTTATAAACATAAGCTGATGATGAAGAGGATGAAGGTAAACAAAGACAACAGCATTTTTGCTGGAAATATTTTATCAGATTGCTTGATCACATAGGAAAACAAAGGGCCAAAGCTCCTGGTACTTTTGAACCCCAGGAAGTAATGATTGACTCTCTGACTTTGTATAAATTACAGCAGAGTACGAAATAACATGGAATGGAGGGTGTGCTTGCTGATAACGTAGAAAGAACTTTCCAACACAGGTATTCTTTAATCCTAAACCATCCTAATATTCCAGACTCTGGTCCCATACACCAAAGTCAGCATTATTCTGAGACCTAGGTGATGGGCATTGCCATCCTGGGCCCTAGGCTTTAGTGTGCCCCACTGGGCTTCCTCTGGCTATACCTACCTCCACTGAGCAAGGTTTGCAGACCAAGGGAGCATTCCCACCTGAACCAACATCCCCTTCTAGACCACACTGAGTACTAGGGACCTAGAAACTCCCTACTCCAATGGCCATATGGCCATACACATGGCCGGCACTGCCTCTTCCTCATCAATTTATATAGATTTATAGTCAACACAGTTCTATCAGTTTCATCAAGTTGCAGTGGGTACAGAAGGGACATGGACAGGCAGCTGGAATGACCAGCTAAAAAGGAAGAGAGTGGGCTGCAGGCCACAGGCCTCTATTTATACCCTTGCCATGGTCCCTAAATGTTAGGTCAGAAGTGCCCAAAGTCCATGCTGTCAGTATCATAGGTGATCTAGAAGGCACATTCGAGGTTCACCATTCACTAATGCTTAGCATTTCTCATCTCAGCATTTATAAATTATAAAAATGTCTTCTGATAAATGATAACAATACATATAAAAAATAAAGACGTGAAGCAAATCCAGAAAAAGTGGTGTAAATTTCCCTTATAAGCCACTCAACCTGATCTATTACTTCACCCTTAGGTCTCTGGGCTTATCTGTAGGAATGCACATTTTACAGAGTCGCAAAGCACAGCAGAGATATAACTCAGCACTTTCAGTTTACTTTATATTTAATGTAATTATACTTTCCAAATGGCTAGGTTTTATGAAATTTTTATAAGAGGTACACAATTTTCTTTCCTATATCTTTATCTTATTAGTCTGTCAATGGATGTTAGGGTAATTTATTTTATCATAACGTAAAGTAACACTCTACCCAACACCTTTTATATAAGCTTTTAATATTTTTAATCAGGAAATGATAACACTATTCAAAGTAAAAATTTTTCATTTTCATTACAAAAATATAATAAGTGAAATTACTGGACCAGAGCATACTACATTGTTATGGGTTTTGATTTCTAAGGTACTTTTCAAAAGCACTGACCAAATTATACTTTTATCAATAAAGTATGAACATATCAAGTTCACTATCCCACTGAATGATCTTTTCAATACATTTTTGCTTATTATGTTGGTTATAAAATAGAACTTTGTGGATCCCTTTTAGACAGGAGGTTGGAGAGGTTTCTATGATTACATATTATTATGACTAAAAGCATGCCAGAATGAAGTATGCTTTTGTCTGCCTCCCAGAATCATTGGGCACACCACTCCAAGCTGGTATCTGTTTCCCCCAAATGACTCAGGCTACTCTAATGCCTGGCATAGAGCAGTGAGCCGCTTACCACTGACCACTCTCACAAACGTCAGCCCTGCATATCAAGCTCAGGGATCAGTGACAGTCCAGGAACTGGGCTGTTTTCCAAAACTACCTTACTGAAATGAAACTGCCATGCCAGTGAGAAGGAAAGCAGCCTTACCCACTGAGCAAATGAGATGCGCTCTTGGGTATGACAAGTCCTGAAGACTTGGGCTTTGGTTTGAGTCCCAGCCTTGCCACTGATTGGCTGTGTATGTTTAGACAATGTATGTGATCTAAGTCTCAGTTTCCTGTCCAAAAGAGAGGAGCTATAATAAAACCTGCCTACCATGACTTTCTAAAGGTCAGGTAAGAAAATGCAGTGCTGAGCACCGTGCCGCACACAGTGTCAGCACTCAATACGCACTACCCGCTGCTACTGTGAGCACCACTGGTAGTGGTGGTTTCTTTTCCCAAATTAAATTGGATCTATGGTAAAGATTAAAAGATGAAGAAATGTTAGGATATTCCATTCACTCCTGTCCATTCATCATCTATCTGCCCATCTATGGGTGGACAGGTACAACATATCCTTTAAAAAGGGAAGGGACTCAAGAGAATTCAAGTACTTCATACAACAAAACCTACCCTTGAGAGTAACCCTGAGTTTTCATTGCCTGGAGGAGGCCACATTCATGTAAAGCAAAGTCCATCAGCCATCCCTGCTCTGCTCCAGGAAGGGTATGGGCGGCATGTGCACTGGGGAGAGAGAAGAGGCCCACCTGGGAGATGAGCAGCTGGCAGGCGGCCAGCTCCCGCTCGCTGGCGCTCATCTTCCTGCTGGAGTCCATCTGGGCGCTCTCCAGCTGCTTGCTGCGGTTGACCAAGGACTTGACCTCTGACTTCATCTTGCTGATGTACAGGCGGGCCATGGTGAACTCCTCCTCGATGACACCATTCACATCTGCCAGCTGAGCACAGGAGGGGGCACACTCAAACACGGCCTCTAACATCCAGAAGGTAGAAGATTCCCCCAAAACCCATCCCCAGATCCTCAGGATGTCCATGGATTTTTGGTTAAAAGTCTTGATCACAGGGCAAGCTGATCATGATCTCTGAAACCTTGGGTGAAATTTTCGATTGAAAAATCCCTACTCAATATAATCCTCAATTAACCAGATTTTGCATTACACTTGATTTTTAAGATAAAAGAGATGACATCAGAAGAAAAAACACTGGCTGGGCACGGTGACTCCCAGCACTCTGGAAGGCTGAGGCAGGTGGATTGCTTGAGTTCAGGAGCTGGAGATCAACCTGAGAAAGAGCAAGACCTTGTCTCTAAAAACTAGCTGGGTGTTGTAATGGCCACCTGTAGTCTCAGCTACTCAGGAGGCTGAGCAAATCACCTGAGCCCAAGAATTTGAGGGTGCTACGGGCTGTGATGCCACAGCACTCTACTGAGGGGTCACAAAATGAGACTCTGCCTTCAAAAAAAAAAGAAAAGAAAAGAAGAAGAAGAAAAAAACTCTGAAAAATTTTAAAAGGAAATAATCTCAAAGAAATATACCATTTACTGTCCTAACACATTTCTGTAACAGCAAACCCCGATACTCTTAAAGGTGACCCTGAATCCCTATTAAAAACTCCAATTGGGGGTGAAATTGGCAGGATCTCACCTAATTTGACAATGTGAGGGTGCTCAGGATGCCCCCTGGGTGAAGGGCTCAACTACAACTTGAAATTTACCTTAGAATTGAAAACAATGTAACCTCAACTTCTGTACTTTCATATTAATTTATAATTTAAAAAACTCAAATCAAAATTTCAATGATGTGCTTGAGGCCACAAATTTGAGACCAGCCTGAACAATACAGCAAGACTCTGTCTCTACAAAAAGTAATTTTTTTAAAATTACCTGGCATGCTAAGTGCATACCTGTATGTAGTTCTAGCTACTCAAAAGGCTGAGGAAGGCAGATTGCTTGAATCCTGGAGTTCAAGGCTACAGTGAGCTATGATCATGCCAGTGCACTCCAGCTTGCATGAGAGAGCAAAATCTGTTTCCTCTTCAAAAAAATGTATGTTCAAAAAAAAATGTATGTTCTGTATGGTCTGCTTGTTCAGGCACAGAAGTAGTCTAATGCCTTGAATGTTTCTATAAGCAAGGATTAAAATAGAAAAGACTTTCTAATGGTCCCCAATTAAATAGAAAATCCAATGAATATGAATGTACCATTCATTATCAAAGACCTTCTTGATGAAGGTGTCCCTGCATGACTTTTCAATGCTACCAATCTATTTTTTCTTGCCTTTTCATGCCTGCCCTTTCCAAGCACGCAGTAATCTAGATCATTATTTAAGATCATCTGCGAAGAACAGTCTAAAACCACCTTTGGAAGTAAACAGCAACAGCCAGAATTCCTGCATGATCTTTAGTTTCTGCATTTCAGAGCTCTATTGGAAACAAAAATTGATGCAAGATACTAGAGATAGAAACTCTTAGGAAATGCAAACATGATCTTGTAGGGCAGTTGACCAACGTGCAAGTAACTGTGTGCCTATTCCATTTGACCACCAGAGGGCAGCCTAGCACCTCAGTAGAAAACAAAGAGCCTGGTCCCGAATCCAGCCCTCCAACACAGGCTTCAGTGGGCTCTGAGCAATGCTTCCCACCCTATCTTTTAGTTGTTCCATAGTACACTATGGAAATAGTAAATGTCTGCTTTTGTCATTACTGCTGGCATTAACTCATCATATAATTATTTTTTCACTTAACATCTAAGAGCTGAGAAAATGGAATCAGGTATCAGCCCTGGCATTGGGTGCCAAATACGGAGTACAGGAGATAGTGTCGGCGGGGTACCTGTAACTTGGCGTCAGCATTCCCCTAAGAGTTCAACAATGGTATCTGTCACCCAACTCCAGTGTCAGTCAGCACAATGCAGAATCTAAGTTAATGGCAAGAAAATCTACAAGTATCAATTTCTGCCTCTATCTTAAAGGAGGTTCTTGCGAAGCCAGTTATACTTCTGTCTGCGAAAGATTTGCCTGCCAACACCACCACTGCCCACTATAATCCAATGGCACAGAGACGGGGTGAAAAGAGTCTGTAACCTTTAAATTCAGTTTTGTTCTGTCTTTGGCACTGGTCCAATGGGGGAGAGGGACGAGAAACGCCTCCCTACCCTGACCAGGTGTATCTCATGTGTCCTCCAGCTTTAGCAGAAAAATAAGGAACATCCATCTCCCCCACATGGAACTCACAGCCTCTACCAGTTCCTGGTGGGAAAACGCTGCAGAACCAGTAGCTCATGCAGCTTGGGAAGGGGACAAACCTCTTTTCTTTCCCAGATCTGTTAAAGTAGGACACTTTTGCTTTTTATGCCCAGATGTCACTTAAGTTGGGGAAGAGTTAAAAAGAAAATCTATCAGTACACACACATACATATATAATGATGGGCCTCCTCCAGAGTGAGAGCTGGACGTTTCTTCTCCCAAATCAGAACCAAAACTTCTGAAGCCTACTCTTGTCCTAGGAAGTCTAAAAGGAGATTTGGAATTGGTGTCTGATGGAGAGAAGAATCCACTAAATAAATGGTTTTCAGCTGTGAGGTTTCTCACAACTGCAGTTTGGGTACTTACTGGTTTTATGTTCAAAAGTTTCTACTAATTCCAAAGCACTGTTATTTCCAAAAGCATAATCTAAGAATAATCAGAGTATGCTGCAAAAATGTTATTTATAACTCTCCCAGAAGCTGACAATGCCTCCAAACTGCATGCCAGACCATGAGACCCATGGGATTCAGTACCAGGACCGATCTGGGAGAAAAGGCACTGCCGTGAAATCACATGGAAGCTGCGGCCTGCCACTCTCCCAGTCTCCAGGTGAAGAGTCGTCCTCCCACCCTGATCCCAGGCCTCCTGGAGATGGAGTGGCCATGCAAAGTCAGGAAATATTGAAGGTAAGTAAAGTGAGTGTTCATTACAAGGCCTATAAGTCAGAATGGGACTAAAAGTAGTCAGTGCGGATTGAAAGGAAATCAGGCAGCCAGTCCAATTCATTTCACTTACTCTACCTCAACTTTCTGTTCAGTCAACAGAGTCCTGGAAATCTTTGTTTTAAGGCAAGCCCAGTGCCATGGGTCCACTGGGCTCACCTGTCATCTACTGTGCTCATCTTGTATTGTTGACTAAACAATGCTTTTCTCCTCACCTAAAACCTGTCAGGTGGGACCTTGTAGGAACTGAATAGGATTTTAGGAACAAAAATACAAGATCACTGAAATATTTCCTTGCTCTCATTTTACTGTACCAAAAGAATGGTGCTATCAGTTGAAAGTCATGACCAGTAAGAAAAGTATCTGGACCTATAATGATAAATCTAACAAATAAATCATATGATTTCTGAGTGACAACGTTTGAGATTATCTAAACTCATCTTGTCATTTTACAGGTAGGAAACTGAAGTCCAAAGAAGCAGTGACTTGTCCCAAGTCACACAACTGCTTAATGCCAGCTCTCACTGCCCTGAAGACTGAATCATAATTGTAAGGAAAACGGCAGAATCACTAAGAATACAATGATCTATAAGTGAGAATTATCAATGAAATTAACTAGGGCATCCAATGTCTGGAATCCAAAAATAATCTCAAAAACATCCAATTGAGTATTTAAAAATAATCTCAATCATACTTCAGATTCCCAAAGGTAAGGACTCTTTTTTTAATGCTGAAGCACCCAGACACTCCTTGATTTCATTAGCATTTTCATCAGCTCTATTTTAGAACTTCGCATAAAAATACCTTCTTCCTTTACCTTTATCAGCAGCAGCCGCCACTGTCCCATAAATCAACCCGCCTTCTTCATACCGTGAGGCCATTTAATCACCCGACACCAAAACTTTACTGCTCCACATCAACATGGTTCAAAAAATTAAATTCTCACATATAAATCACCAAAGTGAAGTGTAGTAATATCAACTCTATCATGTCTGAGAATGCTGTGTTAAAATGAGATTCATTCACAGGATTTGTGAAATATCCACTTACAACACAAGTTCCACGAAGGAAGGGTTAAACGTACAAGTGGTCATATGCTGTAAGCATGGACCTCTTCCACCACCCAGGAAGGACTTCCAGTGTTTCCCAGAAATAGATCGTATAAACCAAAACCTAATCTCAGGTTTAACAATCTTTTCCAGTATTTAACAATCCCAACTGAGTGTTTCACACTCAGCAGACTGATGTAGAATGCTGCCTTTTAAAGATAAAATGGCTAACTTCAAAGACTTTGGTTTTAGGGATGTGTGAGGCTAGCATTCTATTACCCTTCTCCAGCTTGATAAAATCAGTACACATTTATCAATGACTATTCTGTACAAGATGCTCCAGTACTAGAAAGCTGTGATAATCAAAATAATTGTGGTATTGGCATGAAGATTAGACCAATGAAACAAAATAGTGACTAGAGAGACTAGAAACAGTGCCACACCCTTCTGTGGGTGATAGACATGTTCACTGTCTTGATTGGGGGGGGGGGGTTTCACGAGTGAGCATGTACATCACAACCTTCCAACATACCTTAACATACCTTAAATATGTGCAGCTTACATTATGTAAATTATAACTTAATAAAGCTAATTTTTAAAAATGTCTCCACTTGCTTTTCAGTTAAACGACAATGGCCTCTCTAAATTTAGCAAACTGTCAATTGTTCTTGGCTAAGAACATTTTTCTTCTCTCTTGTCCCTCTGTTTCCAGCTTCTGGATAGTTTTATTCCACTCATATTCCCCCACCTCTCTTAGTTCCTTGCTATCCAAAGCACCAATGTGTATAGCCCCAGGAGATTAATCAAAACTGGCTTAAGCTACAACAATAATCCTAGTCCCTTTTGCTTTCCCCCAGCAGTTTGGGTGGTCATGTGACCCCAATTCTGACCCATGAAGTCTGAAGGTGTGTCCACTGGGGACTTCTGGGATCTGTTTCCTTCCCAGATGAAAGGAGTTAGCCTTTTCAGTCCATTAGGGTGTGGCTGATAGGGATGTAATGCTTGGAGCTGTAGCAGCTATTTTTGTGCCATGAGGCTAAATGTTAAGGATAGGAAAAGGAAGCAGGCTGAGGTCAGCAGAAAGGAAACAGAGAAAAGGCCTGGGTCCTTGACAGTGTTGAACCACTGCATCAAACCAAAATTTCTTTCTCAAACTTTAGTAAGCACAAAAATCACCTAGAGAATTTTGTTAAAATGCAGGTTCTGACTCCATAGGTCTGTGGGGAAGCCCAAAGGGATATAGGTCCAGTAAGTTCCTACAGGGAGCTAGATCACACCCTGAATAGCAAGATTCTAGAATTCTTATATGGTGAATAATTAAATGTGGTTTTATTTCTTAAGCCACTGTTAGAATCCTATTAGTCTCAGCTGAAAGGTTTTCTAATTCATAGTGACTGGTTGGAGAATTTTCACTCCACTGGGTTCTTATAGAAAAGGAAAAACAACACTTCTGAGACTAGAACTATGGCTTAAGAGATCCAATTCCAAACTCGTGGGGCACTGGCAAGCAGGCTTGAGGAATAAACCAATTTACATAAGGCCAATCAAAACGTGAAGACATTCCCTAGCTTTGAAATTACATTTTTTCTCCTCATCCTCATCCCAACAATCATTCATCCATTGAGTCACTCCATCAGTCCTTTTTTTATCCATTCACAAGCTACCCGGCACATGATGGATGTAAAGCATGGTATTAAGCATTGAATGCTTCTGACAATAAAAACACAGCCCCTGCTAACTTAGAGTCACACACAATAAGGGCAGTAGAGACGATAAAACAAGGCTGGCTTACCGTCTTCACGTCGTTGGTACCAATAATTCCACCTATCTCCCCCAGGTCCTTCAACAGCAAGTTCAAGATCTCAGTAGCCCTCTTTTTCTGATGGTTGCTAAGCTCTTGTAGCTGGCTCAGCTCTCTTTGTGTGGTTGTCAGGGTAGTCTGAAAAACAAAATTCAACAACAAATTAAAAGGATTCCCCATCAGTTTCATACATGCCACATTACAAAGAACAGCCGCATCACGTGGGATGGAGCTCTCTCCTCCTTTCTCCTGACTTCAACGTAAGAAGTTCAACATCCTCTGAAAGCAAACTGCATAGCACCGCATACTCTTTGGTAAGGAGAGGAACTTCACAGCGACAAGTTTTATCACATGACCTAATACCTTATTATATAGTCTACACAGATGACACAATTTCCAGGTCAGTGAAATAAACAGGGCCAGGCACAGTGGCTCACCCCTGTAATCCCAGCATTCTGGGAGGGCAAGGTGGGTGAATCATTGAACTCAGGAGTTCGAGGCCAGCCTGACCAAGAGCGAGACTCCCATCTCTAAAAATAGCTGGGCATTGTGGTGAGCGCCTGCAGTCCTAACTACTCACGAGGCTGAGGCAAGAGGATCACCTGAGCCCAGGAGTTTGAGATTGCTATGAGCTATGACGCCACAACACTCTACTGAGGGTGACAAAGTGAGACTCTGTCTCAAAAATAAAGCCCCCCAAAAAGGAGCCTTTTGGTTAAGAACATTTGGTCACATCTTCCTGCTTCACCAGATGCTCTGTTTCAGCCCACCCTGTTTTATTTCAGGGTCTAAACGTACTTCCCCACCTCTATTTCTAAACAAATGTGCTCCTGGGCCACTTCCATATTCCCACCTAACTTCATAAAAATAGAGAGATCTGGAATACACAGTCCAGAGGAATATCAATAACTTTACAGAACCACTTCGAAAAAGTCTGATTTTCACAGTGAAGATGAATTAAACACTATTCATCTTTTCTCCAAATGAGTTAAGTTCAAATGAAGATATAGTCTTCATATGTGGCAGAAGCTCTGCTTTCTTGTGAAACTTTAACAAACTCATCTCTTTCTCATCCTTCATGTATGTTGCCAAAACATACATGTCTTAACTAACTCTCCCTACAACTAGAATAGCCAATTTTGGGTGTCTTGGTATTAAGTCTGCCAACAAACAAGTAATTGCCCTGCCCAAGAAGCTGTGGAGGTTAATGTAGAGACATCTATGCAATTCCTCCATGTGCAGCTATTTTAATGCACTGACTAAAAATAATACTCTAAACCAGTCAAATAGAGCTTTAGTTTGATGGAAAATAAGAACTGTATTATGAAAAATATGACACTGTTTTGAGAAGCAAACAATCCTAGGACTAATTGGGAGAATTCTACAGAAAACACTAAGCAGAGAAAAGCTCAATCTCCCCCTTTCCTAAGTAAATTCTGAATGAGTTTATTTTGTTTGGCATTGCCAACTGCTTATTTCATCTTATTTTTAAAATCCACAGAAGCAGGAGTCCCCATCTTGGGAAACCATTAGAGAAGTCTTCCTCCGTGCCGCCGAATGTATGGAGGGAGCAGCGTTTCCTATCAGCTCCGCGGGCGGCAGATTAGCGCTTTCCTGCACCATCTGCTGCTTCTCCTTCTCTGGAGGACTGGATGTTTTCCACAAAGCAGGCTGGGCACAATCCCATGACACCAGGCCATTGGGTAGAGGTGCCAAGGGCAGCAGGTTCCAGCCACTCGGTCTCTCCACCACCTACTTTCTAAATAAAAAAGGGCACATCCCACCACCAGCCACCGTGCCAAATGCTCACTGGCCCTGCTGCCCCCAGTACACTGTGCAGAACCCAGAGCATCTTTCACTTGGAGAAGCTGGAAAGAAGAAAATGTGCAGACTGAAGCAATGCCTTACAAATAAACAGGCACAGCTTAGTCCCAGGCTCCCGAAGGTAACAGGACAAGAAGCTGAGGGGAGGGAATGGATTTCATTAACGGAGGTATAAAAAAGAAGAGCAAAGCCCGTACCTTTTGTGGGTCCCCCGCTCTTGCCTATTAATAGCAACACACTGAGATTGGTTTCTAGATATTGGAGCATATGTACAGGTCTATGCTGAGTGCTTTACATAAACTGTCACTAATCTTCACACCCTGCAAGGGGCATGCTATTATCCCTTTATAGAGAAGGAAATGAAGACTCTAAAAGTTTTAAGATCCTGACTGAGGCCTAAGGGTCATGAAATCATATCTGTAACTTCATGACAATGAACACTATCTGGGTGCTGATCCACATAATCAAAACACTTGTGCCCCCATAATATTTTGAAACTAAAAAAATTTTTTAAAAATGGTAACTAGGATTTTTCTGGCTCCAAAGTCTGAATTCTTTTAACTATTCCTACAAAGCATCCATGCTAATGTTATACATTCTCTTGATAAATAGACTTAAATTAATTCTCCCTGAGGTCCCTTCAAAGAGGGACCCTCCTACACAGTATCCACAAACAGCAATATAGGTACAGGAATGGCAGCCAAGGAAGTCCCACCCCCAAGACATCAATGCTCCAACCGTTTTCTGGGCCAGCTCATCTGTCAGCTGCTCATTGGCTCTGGTCTTATCCTCCACTTCCTGTGACTTCTGGTCATAATTGACAGCCAACTCCTCCAGGGCCTGAAGAACTTCTTTAACCTCATCTTTGGCTGCTTCGTTTTCAATCTGGAGACGTGTCAGTTCCTCTTGTATCTTCTCGTAGTCTCTTCTCGTAGAAGCTAAAAGCTGGGGAAATGAAATGGCATGGAATGTGTGAATGCAATGTTCAAATATTATGTGCTGTATCCAAAATAAAATTATTTCAAAATCAGATATAAGAAAACAAGTTGTAAAAGTTCAGGATAACAGAAAACCCCACTGTATGGTCCAGATACTAAATTTAAAAAAAAATCTTATTTCAAAAACCTGGGGGTTTTATTTGTTCATTTGTTTAATTTAGAGCTGTACAGGCATAACACAAAGTGTGAATTACACATCAAAAAGCTCTGTAGTACTTTATAACCGGTTGGCTATTCCACACATTAAGCAAAAGATGGGGGAATCATTTGCAAAGGCTGTAATACACATAACACTTAACACAGCCTTTTTAACATTATGGAGATTTCACATTATAAATAGTTTAAAAGTGAATGTCTGGGCTTGTGCATGCTTTCATTATCTTTGTTTCTACTGCATTTTCAGATTTTCCTACGATCAATAGATATCGCCTTGATAATATAGGGAAAAAAGCATTTAAAAGAGTTTTAACAGCAAGAAAAAGAAAAGTTCATCACAGGCATCAGTGCCAATGCTAGGGAAGCAATGGAGTAGAATGAGGGGTAGAGGGCAGAAAACACTAAGCAAACGGAAAGCTTCGGCTGTAGTGCAGGCAGAACTCAATGTGGCTCATCTGATTGCAGACGAATAGATTATCTCCCTATTGAGGGAAGGGTTTGGGCGGACGAGGTGATTATTGCTCTGCAGAGATGATGAGGAAGAAAGAGGAAGAGGAAGGAAATGGCTACACAGTTCTGTTCCAGGAGTGCTGGACGGGGACACAAAGCCAAAACACCTGCTGTCATTGCATCATGTGACCCAATTCATAGCATTTTAGCAACAAAGCACAAAAGGGAACAGTACTTAGATGGTTCTCAGCGAGGGAATTACCAGTCATCTATGTTTGATAGATTGGTTGACTGTCCTTTGTTTAGGTTCAAATCTGTAGAACACTTGGCAAAAAAAAAAACAAAACAGCATAATAAAAACATTTACTGGCAAACTGAATGCCTTTGGGAGAGACTGAAAAGAATCTGTCTCCTTTTTTAGTGTATCCCATATATGCTGACCTAGCACTGGGGCCCCTCTTCCCTTTACTTGCCCCTTTTCTATCTTCTACTTTGATTTGGTTTCCCTGCCGGATGGCAGAAGAACACAGCCTGTATCAAAGACCTGAGTCCACTGACTTGCAAAACTGAAATAGGTTAAAACAGTAGGACATAGGAGTACTGGACGTGAGGAATCATCCTTTCCAACTACCAAGCCAAAGGTCTCTGCTCTTCCAGGACCAAGTGTAGCAACCGGCTACTCACTCTCAAAAGCGCAGAGCTCTAGCTGGGCCCAGTGCTGGCTCATGGATTTGCCTGTAATCCTAGCACTCTGGGAGGCTGAGGCAGGAAGATCACTTGAGCTCAGAAGTTCAAGACCAGCCAGAGCAAGAGTGAGACCTCTGTCTCTACTAAGCCAGGCATTGTGGTGGGAGCCTGCAGTTCTAGCTACTGGGGAGGCTGAGGCAGGAGGATTGCTTGAACCCCAGAGTTTGAGATTGCTGTGAGATGGGCTAACATAATAGCACTCTAAGCCTGAGCAAGAGAGTAAGACTTTGTCTCAAAAAGAAAAAAGAAAAACACACACACAAAAACAAAACAGTTCCAGAGTTCTATAAAGTCAGACATTTAATTTTCTAAATTCAGGGAAAATCAGCTTTTAACAGGCACTGAAAAGAAATCTACCAACAAATTTCCCCATGATGTTCCACAAACATCAACAACAAAGAGTAATAATAATTTTTAAACCTTTACTAAAAAAATGTATTGCACTCTTTACCTCATCCTGATCCAACATCTGTTGCTTTAGCTTTTCAGCCAACTGGCTCTGCTGGTTAATTTCATCATCCTGAAACAAAACATCAGGTTTAACATTTTGGGGTTAGTTATGTCATGGTCGATATCCTGGTTTCTCAACAACAGTCAGATACTCTAACAAGATGGAGAGAACGGCACGGTGGTCCTCCACAGGAGAGAGACCGGTTCTGAGATCTCATCTGGTTAAAATACCTCTTTATCCACCTTTCCCAGCTGACGACACAGCTGGATATTCTGGGAAATGTAATATCCTACACACTTAACACAATTCCTGCTCATCCAGAAATCAGAGATTGAGGGTATAAGAACTGAAAAGGACTCCAATGGAGACATCCACCCCAATCCTAAGGTGTTACCAACAAATCCCTAATACAAAACCTAAGGGAAAGAATCTCTAACCAACTATATAATATTTATGTATAATAATTATATATTATACTACATTATATAATTATACTATATTATACTAATGTCCCAGATCTTGTCCAACACATCAGGGACCAGGAACGCTGACACATGACACATAGGAAAGACCACTGTTTCTACGTCAAATCTTTCAGTTAGGGAAATGGGGAAAATATTGGCTAGAGAATTAGCCTTTAGCGCTGGCACATCTCCCTCTGGATTGGGAGTTAATTTTCTTGCGGCAGAAGCATTAAGCTTACTCTGGGCTGTCACTGAAGAGGGAAAGCAAATCCTCTTCCTCACTCTCATTTTCTGCCGCTAGGTGTCGCTGACACAAAAGCCAGGGCGCTCCCTGCCGGCCTCCCCCGCCTGTCCCCTCCACCCCCCGGCGCCGGCTAGGGCGGAGGAAACGCAGTCTTCGCTGCACTGTTTTCTTGATTTCAAATGAAATTGAAAGCACAGCCTATGAAGAATGACAAGCTGGCTTCCAACCGGCTCTCCCCCTTAGAAATAGGAGCGTCTCTGATGTCTCTTCTAGGGTCTAAGCCCCAGAGTCCGATGCAGTTCAGGATTATCGGGGCTCCCCTTTGTACTAGATCCTGCCCCGGTGTTCTCTTCAGCAGATCATTTTAAAAACAAAAACAAACCCCCAAAACCAACCCACCTGTACCGTGCTTTCTGCCTTTTGCAGGGGTGAGGTAAGAGGGGTAAACGTAAGGGTGGTGTGTGCGCCTGCATTTGAATCAATTAACACAGTGTCACAAACTAATGCTTTCCCCGCAGCAGGAAAATGCTAAAATCAATAGTGCAGGATTTATAGCTCCTTTTCCTTTATATAGAACATCTTTTGGCCTCGCTTCTCTGCTCAAAGACAGCCTATTTCTACTGAACTTTTTACATCAATGTTTCTTTAATGGTTCTACTTTCCTCCCAAATCATCTTTCTGGCAGAAGATTAAGGGAAATTACACCAGAGGAAACCTCCAAAAAAAAAATGGTATTTCTAAAACTAGAAGACTATCTTATAGACATATTTTTCTCTTCTACTTTATAAACTTAGCATGTCAGTTAACAGGAATAACTTTGTCATTATGCTCTACAACACTTAAATATTAACATGTTAACATAAATTACCCAAAGAATTTCACTTGGCCAAGCCACCCACCATCTCTTCTTCTGGGACAAATGAATAACCACTATGTGGGATATAAATCATGAGGTAGAGAGATGGTGCTGTGAACCCTCAGCTCTTATGCTGTGCTCACTCAAGGCCTGAAGATGCAGGCTTCCTCCCTGACCTGTGACTAACAGGATGCAGCGACTTTCAAGGCACAGGGAAAAACCAGGAACCCTGGTCCCACCCGGGAAGAATAAAGAGCCTATTATAAAGAACATGAATCACTTGAATCTAAGATTTACCCATTATTAAGACAACTTCTCTAAAGAAGTCGTGTAGTCTATTGTGATTGTTAAAGTCTTCCAAACTTCCAAAATAAGGTATTCTGTGCAGTCTGTATATATTCAAATGCGCCTCTTACAACATGCTAAAGCATACTCACTCTGATGCCAACTCTAAAAGAAGGATAACAGATTTCAAAGCACTTTTCAGAAAATACTTTTGCACTTGAATTTCCTTATGCATGAAATTACATGCATAGCCCTATCAATAGGAATTGGTCAACCCTGGTTGTAAATAGATCACTGGTCACCTTTAATCATAAAGGTGTTTTAGTCGCAAGGGTAATCAGTGTAATGAGCAATCAACTTATACACCTACTTAAATTTGATTGGTAGCATCAGAGAGGGCTCATAGAATAAGTGAAAGGCGGCTCGGCGCCTGTGGCTCAACCGGCTAAGGCGCCAGCCATGTACACCTAAGGTGGCGGGTTTGAATCCCCAGCCCGGACCCGCCAAACAACAATGACGGCTGCAACCAAAAAATAGCCAGGCGTTGTGGCGGGCGCCTGTGGTCCCAGCTACTTGGGAGGCGGAGGCAGGAGACTCGCTTGAGCCCAGGAGTTGGAGGTTGCTGTGAGCTGTAATGCCACGGCACTCTACCAGGGGGATAGCTTGAGGCTCTGTCTCAAAAAAAAAAAAAAAAAAAAATAAGTGAAAGGCAAGCTCATGTTATATCTCTGCTGAGAGCCCACCTGGGCACCACTATCCTTTCCACACCACACAGGACATGCTTCTCCTTCAGGCAAACAGAGCCCAGAAGGAGAAGACCCAACAGAAAGAGAGGAAGTAGTATTTACCGAGCTCCTGTTTAAGTTAGAACTTTTCATCCCTGGGGCAACCTTTTGACATAAAAGGCAATAACAGATAAGAGCCTCAAGGTGCAAAGAGAAAAGCTTACTCAGCAGCACAGGAGTCAGCCAGGTCTCAGCAGTCAGGTCCAGGTCTGACTGCAGTGTGCCTCCACGGCCTCCACCGACACACAGCACTGCCTAGTGACAGCCCCTGGCAGGCAGCTGGGAGGAAACGGTGAGGACATCCCCCTCCATGCCCCAGACAGGTTCATCAGGTTTGACCAGGTAGTTCTTTATTTAAAGTGCTGAGGCCAGAATGGGGTGAGCACCGGAGTAGGAGTCAGAAAACATGTAACCTCATGCCAGCTGTGCTACCTTGGGTGATGTAAACTTGGACAAGTGATGTGACCACCCTGGGCTAGGGTCTCACCTAGACCTAGATACTTCCAACTCTACCACTCAATAATAAGGTGACCAGACGTCCCGCTTTTGGTGGGACAATCCTGATTTTTAACAATTTGTCCTGCGTCCTGCAGCGTTTTAAAAAAGTCCCGATTTTTGGAAAGAATGCACGACAAGCTAGGGAACAGCGGGACAACGGGAAGGGAATATACGGTTTTCGGCTGCCATGTGGCCACTTTGCCAGGATATGAGTTTTATATTATTTTTGTTAATTTTATAATGTTAAACTTTAATAATAACAACAAATAATTGTTGAGAACTGATTATCGAGAACTGCTTATCAAAGTTCGCATTGTTGATCAGTTGTTAGAATTCAACCACCATTGTTTGGACTTAATGAATGGCATTTCTTGGCATTGGCAACAACGAAAACATTTTGTAACTGTCTCTCAGACAATACACATCATACTGCGTGCTAGTGCTAGTTAAACAAGTGATGTCAACAAATCAGCTATTCAGATAATTTAGGTAAGTAATTTATTTATTTCATGAATTTAGCAGACAGTACTCATATTATTTATATTTTATAGTGGCGGCAAAAAGTCTAGCGCCGGCCTTGAAAGTGACGCTTGTGACTTATGAGGTATCACTATTAAAAATATATATTGATAAGGAAAAGGTTAAATCTTGGGCATCAACAAAAATCACAATAGAGAACAAACGGTTAAAAATATTTCATGATTTTGAAACAAACCATGTTCTATACAATAATGCACTAAGAATTGTGGGATAGGCACTGTCCTTACCAGGAACTAATGCTGTGACTGAATGTGTTTTTTCTACGTGGTAAATAAAGTGTGGACATCAGAAAAATCACAATTAAGTGTTGAGACTTTGAAAGCCCATTTTATATGTAAAATATAATTTAACAAATTCTTGTGAAAAATTTCATGACCTTTTAAACAATGACAGCAATCTACTAAAAAAAATTCACTCAAATGAGAAATATGCCAAAGAATAAAATTATACTATACATAATTTTTTTATGTATTATATTTGTAAACTGTACTTATGTTGCAATTTAAAAAAAAATATTACAGTACTATTTTTGCGTTCTATGAAAAATTTTACTGCTCCATATAGACCAAATTGTTTTTTAGACCAAATTTTTAATTAAGAACCCCACCCCACCCCACCCCAGCCCCTGGTCAATGGTGTCCGGCTTTACCAATATTAAAATCTGGTCACCTTACTCAATAATCTATGAAGATGCCATGTCCCACCTCATGGATTCTCTAGTATCAAACTACCCACATCATCAGAAGCACAGAAATGCCCCCTAGCACCTTTAAGGGGTGGACACATAAGAGTGACAACTAGTAAGACATAACCAGGCAGTCCTCGGGCAGAGTTACTAAGAGCAAACTATTAGCTTGGGTTCCCTGTGAGGCTGAGGCTTTGGGGCACAGTCCTCTCCCAATGTCTCTCAGCATCGGCTCGGCACCTATGGCTCAAGTGGCTAAAGTGCCAGCCACATACACCTAAAGTGGCGGGTTAAAATCCAGCCCGGGCCCGCCAAACAACAATGATGGCTGCAACCAAAAAAAAAAAAAAAAATAGCCAGGCGTTCTGGCGGACGCCTGTGGTCCCAACTACTTGGGAGGCGGAGGCAGGAGACTGGCTTGAGCCCAGGAGTTGGAGGTTGCTGTGAGCTGCGATGCCACGGTACTCTGCCCAGGGGGACAGCTTGAAGCTTTGTCTCCAAAAAATAATGTCTCTCAGCATCGCCCTGTGACCGACCACCGAGGCTAACCTGAACAGTGTGCTGTACGGGGCTTCAAGGCATATGCTATGGAGAATGATGACGCAGAAAATGCACTGGGCTAGCCTCTAAGGGACTGAGACTCTGTAGCCAGCTCTCTAGACACCAAAAGAATACTTCAGAAGCCAGGTGGGAGACCTACAGTCTCTCTCTCAGATCACTGAAAGCTCCCTGAGCCGCCAGGTAAATGATCCTGACTCCACAGCAGGTGCCTATACACGGGAACATGGTACAGAGCCAGGGTCTGTGGTTATTAAAAACGAGTCCATCAGTCTAAAGTGAGGGAAAGCACTGCACACAGTCTAACCTCCTTTACTGTTTAAATAACGGCAGTTCTTTGGAGAAATCAAGAAATTGTATATCCTGTTCATTTGCTATTGATCTCCTTTTTTCATCTCCTTCACTTGAGGTTTTATGTAAAATACCTGCCTAGAAATGGAAGATTACAGCATGCCAAGCCCCCAAAGGGCAAGTAACCCAACGCTCATGGGTGTGAACGTTTTATTAAATGTGTTTTCAGAAGCGTAGAGTGACCCCAGTTCAATGCTATAGTTATAATGCAAACTCCTAGAACCAAAAAAAAGAAAGAGCAGAGCTAGCTTCCTTAAGGCCACCAGTCACATTCAGCTTGGAAAGGTGATACCAGACTCTGAGCTTTACCCCAAAGAGAGAGGCCTATAAGATTAATGGCAACGTTAACATAACAAAGTTGTTTCATCCAAGCCGGAGGTGTCCCCAAGCACTCTGAGCTGAAGACAGCAGAAAAGATTAAATCAGACTAAAAATATCAGCAACCTTGATGAAATGAACTGAAAGGATTTAGAATATTCCAAGGGCAATATGCCAAGATCATGAGAAACATCAATTTCATTTCCTATGCCTCTGGGATCGCTAACCCGGCCTTGATTGGAGGATGAATGATACAATGCTCTCCAAGGTCTCTTTTCCCATATTCCAACTTACTCATTCACATGACTATTTTGTCATAAAATTGGACATCTCCAATTAACATGTTTAAACTGCTTCATTTAAGAGTAAGCCCCTGAAAAAAAGCTTCACCAATAAAGTTAAGACATCAGAACACACTACTGTTGGTTCCTCACCCCAGGGCCTCAGGGCTACATGATTAAAGAACGTGCTTGAGTTTGGGAGTCACTGCCCTTATCTCAAGCTGGGACTTCTGTTGGAGTTTCCTAGAGGTGAGGGGTAGGCCTGGAGAAGAAAGGGAAACTTAAAGATCAGAGACACTCACACCCACCTGCACACTCAGCACAGTCCAACTTCTAGTGAGAGAGGATACCGGAGAGGGGCGAGGTCTGGGAGAACAGGTCTTCTCAGGGAGACCACGAGGATGCACCTGCAGGGCCCTCCCTATGGTGACTCAGCTCTTGGGAATTTAGAGGCTTAACTCCCTGGAACTTGGAAATTTCCAAGTTCTGTGAAATCCTGTAGTTCTGTAGGGGCTGGAGTAGCATCTCCTGCTGGATTCAAACTGGCCAATGGGAAGGGTGCCTGTGGGGTGGAACTTTTTGACTGTCAATAAAAAGGGAAAGACCAAGCCAGTGGGCGAGCGCAGCCATTTGGAAATCTTCTATGCCGTAAGCTCCCGGCCGATGAATAAAAGCCCTTCCTCTTATAACTATGGTGTTTGGGTGCTCTTTCTCTCCGTTGGGCCTCATCTTCCTGCAACGCTAGAAATGAAGACTAAATAGCACGGGCCTGTCTCTCTAGCGCAACACTCCACTCTTCTCACACACTGCACATGAATCAAGCTCCCCGAGTGTTCATGACCAGGAGCGAGGCTAGGGAGCGGGAAGACAGGCATAGAGACCGGCCTGCGGCCCTGCACAGCTGCACGGGCCCTCTGAGTCCCGGCCCACACACCTTATCATCCAGCTGTCTGTAGAGACTGGAGATCTCCTCATCGTACTTCTCCTTCTCCTCTGCGGAGATGCCGGCAACAACAGGCGTGATGTTGTCTATGATGGGGGTGTTATCGCAGGGCTCCAGGTTCTTCTGGTCCTTGGCACTGATCTGTTCATCCTCAGGCACGGCTTCTCCTGTAAAACGCAGCCAAAAGGCGCTGGGGATGAAGGAAACTGAGCTCGCAACCCTCCCGGAAGAGTTCTAAAAATAGTCCCTCCTGGTGAGAAATATACACACAGAGGACACAATACAGAAGCTACTGTGTAGTTATAGTTGGTGTTTGTGTTCTTTCTATTTGACAAGAAAAGGTCCTGGTTAATTGACCGAAACTAGTCTAAGGAAAAAGAGAACTATATAATACTCCCCCTCTCTCAAAAGGCATCACTCAAGTAAACTGATTCCACCAACCACAGGCGCTACCCCGCCAGGCAGACATGCCTCAATTCTTTACATGCATTTCACTTTTGCTGAGGAATATCTGGGGCTTCTCTAGAGTCACATTCTTTCTAGAGACTGATTCAAAGGGAAAGAGACCTCTAGGGCATCCTAATTACCAATTAATTATGTTACTGTTCCATTCATGGAAACAACCAAACAAGCATGTTGGCATTGCTCAATAGCGCCCTGTAGGGCCCAAATCCTCTCAGTCTGATGTGGGAAGTCAAGGTGGCCCTGGACCCAAAACTAGCACTGCACAAACATATATTCTACCACGACTCTGGCCCCCAGGAAGCAAGAATTAATTGGCTCTGCTAGAGAGTTCAAATAGAATAAGCTCCTGTGATGTCAGCGAGTCCTAGGAAAGCAAAAGCAGCCAGTCCAGACATCATGCAAGGACCCTACGGACCACTTCTCAGTCTGCGGGGTAGGTTTCTTTGGGCCTTCCATGGCAGAATTGCCACATTTGACAATGCAAATTGAGGAAAAGGGGGTAATTCCAAGACGGCCAGTGGCTATCCCCAACAAGAAAATCACCTTGCAAAGACACAGTGCATCAGAAAGATCCTGTGAAAACCACCTGTCCACTGAGTTTCTCAAATATCTTCTTGGAAAGCAAAACAAAACCCAACCGACTTCTCCACCCCAGCGTTTGCCATCAGTTCATTTTGCTACAGTCAGTAGTGGGAACGTCTGCAACGCTTGGAGCCTCCCCTGATTCTTAGCCTACAAAATCCATTGTGTGAAAATTCCCCAGAAAAACTGCCTTGAGCCAGAGGGAGTTTTTCAAAAAAAGATAGAACTGAGACCCTAATCTGTGGTTTCATTAGCAATCTATATCATGCCTCAAGGAACCTGCTTGAACGGTGCACATTTATCTCAATATAAACAAATCACATGATGGTT